GCCCAAAAAAACCTGTTCTGTTGCCTGGATCTAAAATGCTTCAGTTCCATTGAGACTTCTTCATCTCCTGTCTGATCGTGCTGGGTGCTCTGTTCTGCTTGTCTCCTGCGCTCTGGACCCCCGGCTCCCATCAACCTCTGGGAACCCCAATCAAGGCAAGCTCCACGGAGTGGTGAAGTCTCTCTCTCTCTCTCTCCCACCTCCCTCCCTCTAAGGACAGCCTCCTGACCCTGCCCTACGTAAACTGTGCTATGGTTTGCTAGCCCTAACATTTGTAATCAGCTTCAATTTAGATTTGATATTGTAACTGTTTTGTGTATTTGGATCCCTATATATATACTGGCCAACTAGCCCGTCATAAGATGGGATTTTCAGGTCTCTCCTCCACGTCGGTCTTCTCTCCTGAGCCTCCAGTCTCTCGCTCCATCTCCCTCTCTCTCTCTCTCTCTCTCCTCCTCCTCCTGCCTTCCCCCTGCCCCGCTCTCTCTCAGCTCTCCTCTGCCTCCTGCCTCTCTCTCCGTCTCTTTCTTTCCCTTCTTCCCCTCCTGCCTCTCACTTGCTCTTCACTATCCTCCCACACACAAATGTACAAAACATTGATTGGCACAAACAGTAAATGGTGGACGTGAACAAGGCTCTCATCAGATGCTCACCACTCCTGTTGCCACTGTCAAAACATTACACCATGGAACCTTGACTTAGCAGAAAGTGCTCTGATGCCCCAGTGCGGCTGTCACCTGCCATGGTGGTTGTTGAAGTGTTACTATGGCAGGGCAGTGGCGGGGTGTGGGGGAGGAGGGAGTAGAGCAGGCATCGCTATGGAAGGTACTGTGATTGGGGGTTATTTTTAGGAAGTTGGGGAGCTTGAGGTGCCATTGTGTTTGGGGGATGTTGCTGTGGGGTAAGGCAGTGGGACGTCACAAGACTGTACATGTGTGCCCTGTGGGGCTGCCTCGGCACTGGCCGGGGTGCTGTGTGGGTGAGGTTCATGTGGTCGTTCATGGGCTGGGCTGCCTTGCAGGCCTGGGGCTCTGGTTCAGAGGGCGAGGGGGGCAGTGACTCACCAGCAGCCTCCACTCTTACTGTACTACGAGCAGTGTGTTGGCGTGGCCCCGCAGTGTGAATGTATATGGTGGCCCCACCCTCAGCCTGGCCCCGCCCATCTCTTTATTTTTCAGTGTCACAGATGCTTCCTCCCCATGGCAGCCTGGCTGAGCAATGCAGAACTCAGCTAAGTGTCAGGACAGGAGGGGAAGGGAGGACAGAGCGGTGACATACGTGGCCGGGCCCCACCCTCTAGCCGTGTACTTCACCGCCCTGCCCCCCTTTGCCTCCTGCCGTGACGCTCAGCTGAGTTTTGTGCCGCTCAGCTGGGTCGCCACGGGGGAGCAAATGGCCACTTGGGCTTCCCTGTGGCAGCCCAGCTGAGCAGCGCAGAACTCAGCTGAGCACCACGGCGGGAAGCGAAGGAGGGCAGGGTGGTGATGTATAAGGCTGGGCAGCAGCACAAAGTAGATCACAACTCAAAATAACAGAAAACACTGAGCTGATTTTCACACTAAAACCTCGGGACAAACTTACCCTAAAACTGTTTTATTTCAGCTACGCATCCAAACCAGGGGGATTCCATCTCCCTGGGGTCTCTGGCTCATTTTCTCGGGAGTGCCATGCCAGCCAAAGACAAAGACATTGCCCGTTTCCATTGTTTTATAGATCCCATTTTTGGGTGGGAATTCTGTTTCTACATTCCACCCTTACATGGAAAATAAATCACAGCTGGTCAGACCCTACCAGTTGGAGACGTCACAAGACTTTCTACAACCAACCACTGTCAAACTTAAAGGACAAAACAGGCTGCTACAGTTGAACAGAACTTGAGGAAAATACCCTTGATGGCTTGTCTTAGCAATTTGGAAACCATAAACCATTCCCTACCCCATACCTCTAACTTAAAATAAGAATGATACACACACAACAATACAATCTACAGACCCAGCGGATCTTGACATGAAGACAGATAGATTATATAAGGTAGTTTGTCCCAAGCATCTTCGAGATCTGCTTATATGTGTGCATGAGTCCATTTCATAAAGTCCGTCACACTTCTCACATTATCCACCGTGATTGCTCAGTTTTCTTCCAGTGATAAATATTATTTTACCTGAATGAGTTACCCCAGGCTCCTGTGTTTGGGGAGGGAAGGGGGGAATGAGCAAATATATTTAAATGTTACCTTTCCTTAGTGTTGACATCAAATTCTCCTCACTTGGGTCACTCACAGCCCCATCCGCACACACGGCCGACACCCGGAATCTGTAGGGCGTCTGTGGCCTCAGACCATCAATGGTGCAGGACTCGGTTCTCTTTCCCGTCCTTCGCTCCAGCCATTTGGCTTCTCCAGCCTCTGCTCTGTATTGCACCTTGTACTCGCTTATACTGACTCCATCTACAATGACACATGGACTCTCCCAGGTCAGGGCAAGGGCCGAAGATTCTACAGTCGTTGCTACAGGTTTCCCAGGGGGGCTGGTTGGAAGCGTCTTCACTGTGTCGCTCACGTCGCTGCTCTCGCTGAGCCCTGGTTTGCTCACGGCCGCGTATCGGAACTGGTACTGGGTGTTTGGACGGAGTCCTGTTACTGTGAGTGTCTCTTGTGTGTTACTGACATTCACAGCCACCCAGTTCTCCTGCCCGACAAGTCTGTACTCTGCCCGGTAGCCGCATATCTCAGCCCTGCCATAGGCTGCCGGTTTCAGCGTGAGCTGCACACGGTCATGTTGGACTCCACCAATCAGGAGAGGAAGAGGCTTTGATGGAGGCTGGAAGTTGGTGCTGCGCAGCTCTCCATCCTCATACAAGTAAATGGAAGTGCCTGGATTATCCTCGTCTGGAACCGAGGCCACAATGAACCGGGTCTTCCCGTTAGATTCATTGGCACGGGCAAAGTCAGAGAAGCTCTTGGCAGCTTTTCTAGCTTTTGCATATATTTCCTTGTCCTCAAACCAGGGTTTGGATTTTGGTTCCTCACTGTCAGAACTGGCTGGTGAAAGATCCTCCGAGTCCTCTGTAGACTGGATCTGTAGACAGAGATGTAAATCTGATAAATATGGCTCCTCGTCCTGTAAGGAGGTGAATATAAAAGAAATAACAAAGTCAAGCCCAGGGTTGAGCACTATTTTCTCTAGTTCAGCCTGGGAGGGCACCACGTCTGCCTTGCTTAGGGCACTAAGGTTTGCCACATAATTCATCTCTCGCTCCTTTTTGTCCAGGAATTTACTGAGTTTCTGTGTGTTGAATGGTGACATGCTATGGTGTGACAGAATGTCCACCAGGGCCCCTTCCTCTTTCCCCCCACCACGGATGGATGGTAAGAGTCCTGCCAGCTCTTTCTGAAAAGTCTGTCTGTGTTGCATGCACAGATCTTGGAACTGTTGGATTTTCCTCTGGATTTCAGGAAAGGTTCTGGCAATTGGATTCTTCCCCATGTCGTTGCATCGCATGTCCAGTTCTGCCAGGTCCTCCATTGCAGTCTGAGCCTCAGAAATTAGCGCTAAGCTGATCTCACGCACCAGCTGAGCAGCTCTGGAATCCAGCTTGGTCAGCGGGTACAACCAGACTCTCATGGGTACGGCGTTCTCCCCGTTCTCACCCAGCATCTTTGGAAGGGTGGAATAAATAGTCATGGCATCTTGGAAAGTAGTTGGATTTTTCTCAAGAGCAAAATCACCATGGAACTTGCAGTTAAATTTGTTAGCATTTAGTTTTTCTGTGTCATCCATTTTGAGAGACCCTTCCCCTTCCACAGAAAACAAGGGTATCTTTTTAATTGCAATCTGAAGTGATCCCTGGATCTCTTGTACACTTTCAGAAGAAGAAACTTCTCGATCGAACACGAAGAAAGCCTGGGCGCCGTACAGCACAGCCGTGACCACGTGGGTGGCCGTTCCTTGGTCAAACACAGCAGGATAAGAGACATTCCCTGCTCCTAAATGGCTCATGGTCAGCTGCTCAAACCTTGTTGTGGTCGAGTACTGGAGAGTGACTCGGGCCTGGTGTTTGGATGTTTTGGTGTCATTTAAGTATTTGGCAGATCCACCTACTTCAACCAAGCCCCCCAGGAAGCTGGCCTTGAGCGATGCCGTGACATGGAGGGCGCTGGCCTTGTCCGCAATGGTGTCAGAAGCGATGATCTCATAGTTAGTCCAGGGTTGTGGTTTTGTGTTTACGTCCTCGTGAAGCTCTTCCAGACCCCACAGCGTGATCCCTGCAAGGTCAGAGAGAAGCACACGGTAACGTAGCTGATAAATTCACAGGTTTAATTCTGTGTCATTTCTGAAATTGAAAAATAACGAGTGAGGGACACCAAGTGAACTGGCCTGGTAGCAAAGAAACGTGCCTGGTCAAAACTGAATGACATGGCTAACAACCTCCTCTTGCTCCCGCCTCCTTATAGGACTTGGGAAGACGTGATCCTTTGTGATTTCTTCTCAATAAAGCCCTCTATGGAGTGACCTAGTTCACTCCCCACGCTGGGTTTGCTGTTCCAGGGAACAAGTGCTACACTTATGGTTGAAATGCCACGTATATTAGACATGGTTCTTTGATTTAGGCACTCAAAATTTCCAACAAATTGACCTGGTCTATGGTCCGTCTAGCCCAGTAATCTCTCTCTAAGGGTATGTCTACACTAGCCCCCTAATTTGAACTAGGGAGGCTAATGTAGGCATTCGAAGTTGCAAATGAAGCCTGGGATTTAAATATCTTGGGCTTTATTTGCATCTTCCCTTCTGGTCGTCATTTTTAAATCCCCCTAGTCCAAAGTAACTGCCTGTGGCTACACGTGGCAGTCGAACGTTAACTCAAATTAAGTCCTTAGTTCGAGTTAACTGTTACACCTTGCCTGTTCTTCCCTGAGCTGTCTATCAATTTTTGTCTTCATTCTCTCCAAGAGAATCCTCTTGACACTTTTCCTGGAATAGACGATATAGATGCTCCTCCAGTTCTTGTATTCCGTCAGGTTGCCTTTCTTTGGAAGCTTGATAAGGTAGCCATGTTTCCAGTCTTGTGGCATCTCCTCTGTGTTCCAAATTTTCCCAAATAGATTATACATCATGTTTATTGATGTCTCACTACCTGCCTTGATTGCTTCTGTGGGGATGTTGCTGTTTTCTGCTTTTTAGATGGACAATGGCTTTTCTGATTTCTTCTTTTGTAGGTCTGCTGCTGTTAATTTGCAGAGGTATATTTGCAGGTGGTATCTCTTGGAGGTTCCATGTGGACAGGGCAGTTCATTAGCTCTTCAAAGTGTTCCTTCCATTTATTGAACTGCTCACTTGGGTTTGTTAGCACACACCCCTCCTTATCTTGCACTGGCTGGTCCATGTGCACCGTGAACCAGCCAGCTTCTGGGTGACGTCTTACAGCTTTTTCAAGTTTCTCCATCCTGCATCTTGTTCCTCTTGTTGTGCAAGGTTATCCATAAAGTTCTTCTTGTCCCATTTTACAGCCTTTTTAACTTCTCTGCTGGCTTCTGCCTCGGCTGCTCTTATTTTGCTGTTGTTCACTGCTGCTCTTCTGTTTTTTCATTCCTTCACTTTTCTCAGAGTTTCTGCTCTGATCCATTCTTTGTGATGCCTTTTCCTCTTTCCCAATGTTTTATCGCAGGTCTTTTTCCAGGCTGGTTTAGTGTGTTCCCAAATTTGTTCCACAGTAGCATCTTCCAGGATAAGGTTTGTCAGAAATTCATATCTGTTGGACAGCTCCAATTGGAAACAGACTCTTGTTTCTAAATCCTTCAGCTGCTCCATGTTGAATCTCAGTCTCGGCTTGGTCATTATTGTGGTGTACCTCTTGAGTTTGAACTTGAGTTTTATCTTGAGCAGGTGATGATCTGAAACTATACATGCTCCTCTTCTAGGGTGGATGTCCTGCATCAATCTTCTGTAAGAACTTCTGATACAGATGTGATCTATCTGGTTTTCTGACTGATGGTCTGGTGAAACCCAAGTGATCCTTTTCTATAGAAAAACGCTAGCACCAATCCATTGAAAGAACAAAAGCCACTAATGCAAGATGTGGACACATTGAAGAGTCCAGAGGAGAGCAACAAAATCGATCAATGGTTTAGAGAAGGTCGCCTTTGAGCAGAGGTGAAAAGCCAGGTAGGGTCAGTCTAAAGAGAAGACGACTGAGAAGAGTCCTGAACAGGCTGGCTGTTTTAAAGAGGAGGGTGAACAACTGCTCTCTGTCCCAGCTTAATGTGGGAGGGAGGAGCCAACATGGGGAATTTCCATCACTGGAGATATTTAAGAGCAGACTAGATAGACATCTATCAGGGATGGTCTAGATGGTACTATGTCCTGCTGTGAGGGCAGGGGACTGGACTTGATACTCTTGAGGTCCCTTCCATTTCTATGTTTCTATGATTAAATTGCAGCAAAGGAGTTGACATTAGACATTAGAAAAACTGACTCTCAAGGTTGTTAGACCCTGGTTCAGGCATCCAAGGGAGGTTGTGGAATCTCCATCACTGGAGGTTTTGAAGAAGAAGTTCAACAAACACCTGCGAAAGATGTTCCAGGTGCGTCTATTCCTGCTTCAGTACAGGTAGAGGGACTAGATCGCCTCCTCAAGTCCCTACCAATCCTACACATCTCTGATTCAGCAGGCTAGGGGCAGACACTTCATCATGCTTATTACATTACTTTAAAATGTATTTCCTTTGTTTATATTAGTTACATTTTAATTTCATTGAGGGGCCTGCAACAGACCAGGTTGGGTCTGGGCATTGCTGAGGATGCTTAATCATGGTGAATCGCTCAAAATTAGGGCTTGTTAGTCCCTGAATGGAGACCTTTCCCAACGAGGCAACAAACGAGTCACACCGAGCGTTTCACCTGACAATCTGGCCAGCAGGAAGCCTCATGAGCAAAACCCCTCAGACATCCCAGCTCTCCCTGTGCCACAATCAGCCCCAGGCCTGCACCCAATCTCACGAACCCTGAATGGGTTCTCTCGGTCCAAGAGAACCAGCCACAGATCCCTGGTCAATTTACACTCTGGATCTTACCCAAAGGAGCACGCTGGGCCAGTCCTTTAGAATCTAATATCTAAAGGTTTATTAGTAAAAGAAGGAAAAGGTGGAGAGTGAAGTTGTTAAGGAGAATATGTTACATGCACCAATCACCAAATTCCTGATGCAGGCTCTTAGCAGAGATGTTACAAATGGTTAGATTAAAAGTCTCTGGTGTACATCCTGTGTCAGGATGGGCCCATGATCCTTCCTGGCTCTGTTCCTCGCAAGGCTGCATCTGGGATCAGTAGCAAGATTACAGACAAGATGGAGATTGCACCATGGCACTTATATCTCTCCCCTGGCATCCTCCTAGCCAGAGAAGGTCACATGGTCAAGTGTCCTGTTTGTGTTTCACATGCTGGCAGCTATTATACCCTGGCTGGTTTGCAGGTTCCAGACACATTCCTCAGGTGTGTATGGGCCACCTTGAGAGCCATAGTCACTGGGGCCCTGCTAATTAGCACAGTCATCCATTGGACATTCTTTCCTCAGGACAGACAGGCTCTGTCTCAGGCAGAGAATGTTCCAGCACCTGCACAAAGCCCATATTCATAACTCCACATACAAACATCATGCAAGTACATGAGTAGCACATATACATTCAGTAGAACACAAGCTTTCATTTGACACCTCACATGGCCCCCTTTGTACAGACTTTGGGGTGCAGCAGTGATCTGTCTGATCCCCTTAAAATCCAGCAGAGTGACAGGCCCCTTCTTCTGTGACAGAGTAAATCAATGCCTTTCTCTCCCAGGCATCATCACCCTGCAGTGTCCGACCCTCTTCTTCTTCTCTCTCTAGGAAATGTTCTGTGTTGTCAGTCTCGCATCTGTGAAATCTTCCTCAGGCTCCAGCCAGTATCATCAAAATCAAGTCTCTGCCTCCTTGATTTCTGACCCATGCTCTGTGATGGACTGGCCAGCACTGACGCAACTGCCTAGAGAGGGTGGCCCATTGAGTGGGATGGAAGCAAGGTCTGAACGAGCTCTGCCGAACGGCTGACAGGGGAGGAGCAAAAGGCTTCAGGACCAGGCTGTGTCCATGAACACACCCACTCTGCCTCGGGCGCCAGCAGACTGAGCTGGGTGGCCCAAGGGATCCATTTGGCTGGTGTGGGACACAAATCACTTTGTATTGAATGCAGGGGCAGTGACATGGGCTTATCCTCATGGCCTGAGGGAAGGGGAGCAGGACGGTGCTCAGCCTGTGCTGCCTGAGGGCGTCACCCTCCACAGAACAGAACTTGCTATTCTGGGGGTGTCAGATGCCAGCCGCCTGCGACAGTCCAAGGGGACCGGTGTCCTGCTTGAGGGGATGCTGCCCAAGGGTGCAGCTCATGGCTTAACCCGCTCACAGAAAGGGCCAAGCAGGCGCCATGTGGAATCTGTTGTGTTGTTCAGGGATCACTAGCTCTGAAATCACCGTTGTGGGGCCGTGGTCCTGCCCAGCCTGACAGTCACTGGGAGCTGGAGGAACCTTCAGAGACCGACCTACAGGGCTCACAGTGGAGAGGACAAAAGCCCTGGCTGGGATGATTGAGTTGGGATAGGTCCTGCTTTGGGCAGCGGCTGGAGTCAATGACTCCTGAGGTCTCTTCAAACCCTAGGGGTATGTCTACACTACCACCGTAGTTCGAACTAGGGTGGTTAATGTAGGCATATGAACTTGCAAATGAAGCCCGGGATTTGAATTTCCCGGGATTCATTTGCATGTTGCTGGGCGCCGCCATTTTTAAATCCCCGCTAGTTCAGACTTCGTGCCCGCGGCTACACGCGGCACGGACTAGGTAGTTCGGATTAGGCTCCCTATTCCGAACTATCTGTACATCTCGTTCCACGAGGAGTAACGGTAGTTCGGAATAGGAAGCCTAATCCGAACTACCTAGTTCGTGCCGCGTGTAGCCGCGGGCACGGAATCCGCACTAGCGGGGATTTAAAAATGGCGACGCCCGGCAACATGCAAATGAAGCCCGGGAAATTCAAATCCCAGGCTTCATTTGCAAGTTCGTATGCCTACATTAACCACCTTAGTTCGAACTAGAGTGGTAGTGTAGACATACCCTAGGATTCTAATAGTTCTCTTCTAGATGGGTCTGGGGTGAGCTGTAATTGTCCCAAGTCACTGCCTGGGGGCTGGAGCCGGTTTTGTGCTGCACTGTTGAACATGCATTCCTAGATATTGAGCCCAGCCCTGGTTGCTGCCGGCTCCACCTGGCAGGGGGGTTATGTACATAAAGCCCTTGGGATCGTTTAGTGGCATTTTCCGCCCCATTCCTCCTGCCCTTCGCACCCTGGTTTGGGCTGCCCCTGCACACAGAGCGGGTGTTTGTACTGAGCTGGGCACAGCCTGGCCCAGGCCTTTCCTGGATGGTTTCACCATTCCTGTGGGGCACCGGGAGGTGTGTACGTAGCTGGAGCTATTCCTTCCTACAACTCTCAGTGAGTCCTAAAGAGCTGTGCGCAGAGACGGCCCTTTCCGGAGACCTGCCCCTCCTACAGGGAAATGTGGGAGGGAGGAGCTAGCTCTGTGGTCCTCAGGTTCTGTCCCTTTTCCTAGCTTGACAGCAGTTCAGGAGACGCTGCCAAGGATCTGATGGGAAGTTTCTCTTCTCTCCTAGTGCCCTGGGGCCATGAGAAGGGCCAGCTCTGCCCCTGCAGGTTTGGTGCCATTTCCTCCCCCAGCTCAAATCCCAACCCAAATGTGCCAAAAACAAACGGGCAGCAAATGCCTCCCCAGTGACAGGTACCTGGGATGAGGGCGTCCTTGCGGCAGTCGTACAGCATCCCCAGCTGGAAAGGGCGACCCAGGGCCGGCATCGCAATCGTGTCAGCTGCACAGGCCATTGTTCTGCACCCGGACACTTGCTCCTCTCTCCGGCCTGTGACAAACAGGTTGGACGTGAGGGAAAACTGCCTATCTGTTCGGGTGGTTAAACGCTGTAATACATTGACTGGGGGGTTGTGGAATCTCTATCCCTGGAGATACTGAAGAGCAGGTTGGACGCACACCTGTCAGGGATGGGCCAGATCAGGGCTGGGAAACATTTTTTTGACTCTGAGGCTGCGGAGGAGCAGAAAAATCAGTCGGGTGCCACACACAAGTGGGAAACAGAAAAAACCCGTCAGTGCGGCCCCAACTGAGAAGCAGAAAGACCCTCCCCACATTCCCCTCACACACCAGAGCCTAGATTTTGTGTTCTGCAGCCCCATGGGGAGGCAGTGGGGGGGACTGAAGCACTAGTACAGGGTCCCCAAAGTTGTAGGGAGGCTGACCCTCAGATGCTGGTTCCTGACAAGCTGAGAGCCCAGCTCCGAGGCCTGAGGCTCCCCACCCCTGGTCTAGATGGTGCTGGGTCCTGCTGTGAGGACTGGACTCAATGACCTCCCTGCACATCCACTTCTCTGCTGCTGCTGCCTGCTTGTTAGCCTCTTCAGCAAAGCAAGCCTTGAGCAATGCCTGCTGTGGTTGCCCTGTGCCTTTTTGGGGATGACACAGCTTTTCACTCCTCTGCTGTGTGTGCTATGGAGCCAGAACTGACCCAGGGCATGTGATGGACCCCCAGGACCAGGCTGCACTCCCTGAAATACCTGCTACAAGCAGCGGTCCTCTTCTAGCTGGAGGTGGACCCCAAGATCTTCCTAATCAGCCTCTGTCTGGCTCTGGGTGATCCCCTTTGCTGTCCCAGCCCACTGTGCCCAGAAGATTCTGGAGGCTGGACACCAGCTTGGACTGGTGCCCATGGAGTGGTAGCGGACCAGCAATGGATGCAGAATGTCCACATGCAGAAGGCCACCTTCTAGGAGCTCTGTGCCTGACTTGCACCTGCCCTCCAATGACATGACACCCACCTGCGGCCTGCCATCCCACAGCAACAGCGGGACACCATCGCCCTCTGGAAGCTGGTCTGTCACCCCAGACACCTACTGCTTGGTGGTGCACCAGTGTGGAGTGTGGAGGTCCACTGTTGGAGCCACCCTGATGCAGGTAAGGAGATCGCGGGCTGCAGCCACTGCACCGGGAAGGGGCTGTTGCATAAGGGGGACCCTCAGGACGGGGGCACTGGGGACTGTATAGGATAGACTGGGGGTGGGGCAAATCCCTGGCCCAGGGGGCTTGTACTTTCTTGGTCTGACACTGGCCTGGTTGAGAGGGAGGGTGGGCATGGGCTCACAGTGGGAGGGGGTGCCTGCGGGGTGGAGTCCTGTGGGGCAGCCACATCTCACTGGGAGCACACAACCCCTCTCTCATTCTGTTATGCGTGTTCCTTTCTCTCCTTCTGCAGGCCGTCTGGGCCATCAACTCCCTGCTGCTGCGCAGTCACCTGGCTACAGGACCTGAATGCCACCATGGGCGGCTTTGCTGTCCTGGGGTTCCCCTGCTGCACGAGAGCGATCGACGGCACGCACATCCCCATCCCGGCCCCAGAACATCCAGCAGCTCACTTTTCCAACAGAAAGGGCTACTTCTCCGTAGTCCTGCAGGCCCTGGGGACCACATGGACACTTCACAAACATTTATGTGGGATGGTCGGGAAGTGCTCACGACACCCGAGTGTTTTGGAACTCCAGCCTGCATGCCCAGCGGGAGGCAGACGGCTTTCTCCCCTGATGGGAGTTTCCAGTGGGCAACCAGATGATGCCAGTGTGCATGGAAGCAGCAAACCCCCTCATGCCCTGGCTAATGCGCTCCAACAACAGCCGGCTGGATCCCAGCAAGGACATTTTAAATGCTGGCTTCACTAGAGCCAGCCTGCACGTGGGGCGCACCTTTGGGTGTTAGAAAGGACGATTCCGCTGCCTCCTCACCTGCCTGGGTATCCGAGAGCAGAATATCCCCAAAGTGTCAGCCTGCTGTGTGATCCACAACCTGGTGGTGCCCAAGCGAGAGGCCTTCCTCCCGGGGTGGGCGGCAGAGGCTGCCTGCAAGGGCCGGGGCTGCAGTGACCTGCCAGGCCCATTAGTCCAGGGTGCACATCTGGGAGGCCCCGAGGGAGAGGGTCTCACAGGAACCACTGGAAATCTCCCCAGGGCCTCCACCCAGCTTTCTCTCTCCCTTCCCCCTCTCCACTCGGCCCTGCCCTGGCCTCCCAATAAACACACCCGCTTGGTTTGCCAACAAAATGACTTTTTTATTTAACAGAAAAGAGATTGGGCAGGGGGAGGGGCTGTCTGAACTGGGAGGGGGATGAGGACTGGGAGGATTGCTGGGGCAGCTTGCTGAGCACTCTCAGCTGTGGGGATGACGTTGGGGCTGGGTAGCTCTGGGGTCCCCCAATGGGGTGGGTGGGAGGGGCGGGTGCAGGGGGGGCCAAGGGTGGCGGGGGGACGGG